GGAATGCCGCGGTTAATCTCTGCATGCTGCTTGGACAAAGCACATCATAACATTGTTTAATGACTTCATATTGATGAATGGCATTGTAAAGCCTTCTGTTGTGGCCAATTGCTTGATAACATTGAAATTTGGAGACATGTTTTATTATCTAGTGCCTGCCCAAACTTATAAAATAAAAATGGAATAAAGTGGGTAGTTAGAATAAAAGGATCTCTGATATGTGAATGTTTCCAGGGAGCATTTCATTTTACAAACCTCTATAGCTGAAGATTTAATCCTTGGCTTGAACAGTTTGCCTTCCTGTGATTTGTTTTATTGTAGCACCAATTTAAAAAAAAAAGATCAGATAAGATGCAGAATCAAATGCTTTTTTGGAAGGTCTGTGTAAGTCGCAAATGTTGAGTATTTTCAATCTGGCAACTTCAGACGAGCACAGTCCTGGTTCCTGATCCCCAGCATCTCTCAGAGCAAGTTAATATGAATGTGGTGCTTCATGCATTATTACATGCCTGGCTTATCCCTGCTCACTGACCTGGTCTCTCTCTCTCTCTTCCCTCCCTTCCCCCTCCTTGCTCCTTTGATGTAGCTCTCACTCCCAGAGGAACAGAATGAAGTAACAAGAAACGGCTGCGAATCCAAGGAACTAGTCTACCTTGTGCAAATCTCGTGTCAGGTAAATGTCATGTTTTTCCCCCTGATCTTGCATACAGCATTGCTTTGTTTAATAATGTGGCCTCATAATACGTTGATGTCACTTGATTTTAATGTGCATTTTTTCACCTCTTCGCTGGCTTAGTCCTCTGAAGGATTCTTTATGTTTTGCTGTGGTTGGCTAATTTTTAAGGAAAGAAATACTGAGCTTTAAAGAGCGAAAAACCAGCTTGTTCAGCAAACAATCCTTACTGCAGTACATGGGGAGCTGTAAAATATTTAGCCAAAAGACACAGGCGTGGGTGCTTACGGGGGGAAGGGGGGGGGGGGAGTGTAAATGGGGATATGTGCATACATTATGACTTGCATACAAAATGTATATAAAAAAAAATTGAGTGCTTGAGTAAGAACAGAGGCCAGTATCTCCCACTGATTAAAGGATGGAGGTAGGGATCATGAGGTTAACTTGGCATCTTGACTTACTGTTTTGTTTTCTTTAATCACTTTTATTACTGGTGCACTGGTGCATTCAAGTTACGCAAATATGCAAATAACTTTGCTTCTCTCCCTTCTTTAAAATGGGTATAGAAACCCCAGAATGAGTGGTCATTTTGTAAACTACTTTCATATCCTCAGATGATAGGGTAAACTATATACGTTCATTGAGTGTGGGAAGACTTAGTAGACCCAGGTAGAAGTAAATTAAAATAGGATGTGATGCCTAGTCATTTTTCCACCCTAGGCTATAGCACTTCTCCCTAATATTACCTGTCTTGGCATGTTGTAAGCAAAGTAATTGTTAACTTACAGTACATTAATGCTGTTGTATTATTTGCACTCTCTTTATTTGGTTCTGTTGTGAAAGTCCAAAGAATTATAGCTAAGGGAATATTATGGGCATATTGATAGTAGATCACAGCATGTCTGAATTGCCCGTGTGAGGAAGAGTTGGTTATTTTCCCACCATGGTCTCATTTAGATGGGGAAGTTATAGCAAGTTGTATAAGCCAGGCTGTGAATTTACAGCACACGAGCGATTCCTCTCTGACTCCTTGCGTGCTTACTTTCGGGGTTTGTCTGTGCCAACTCTGCCATACACGAACACCTTGATGGCTCATTCCACTTGCCGTACACCCAAGCCCAGGAAAGAGGCAGCCCCAACCACACGCCCAGAGGCTACTCTTAGGCTTTCGGCCCTGACCACATACTGTATATTGGATGTCTCCTCAAGTCATCTCAAAGGCAGCAACATCGCCTCATTCCTGAAATGTAGCACCTGCTAGGTGGCGTCGAGTGGACAGGGCATGCCTCTTGGCAGTGATCCCAGGTTCAGCATGGAAGAAGTACAGATATGACTTTAGCACCCAATTGGAAGGCCTTGCTGGGAGGCAACTTGTTTAACTTTGAAACTGGAATAAGTTACCTCGTAATTAGTGCAAATTAAATGTTTCCACACAGGAGGGAGCTAGTGCAGAGTACCCAGGGTGCTATAAACTAACTCCTTAGCTTTCTACAAGCTAACTTCCCTGGCTTGATAAGCACGTTTTTTAAAAAGTATCTTTGCATTAGAGAAGACCAGGGCCCATGGGAGTGGGAGAAGGGGCCAAAATTTCACAGGTGAATGAAGTTTAATATTGCCTGCGATTTGTGAGCATCTCACAGATACCGTTTGCCCCTGCTGTGCTTGTAGACCAGATGGTAATTTAACAAAAATCAACGCAACTTCTAAGAAGGCAGCGCCGAAAAACGAATGGAGGGCATGTGCCTACATCTGTGCCAATTGGATTGTTTTTAACAATGAAAGGATCGAGGCTGCAATTTTTCAAGGAAGTTTGGATTTCTCTAGGTTTTGGAGGGGTGATTTTATTTATGCCCTGTTTATATCACATTGTGCCAAGTGCTGTGACCAGGAGGTGGATGCCAATAGATGATGCTGGGGTAGATGCTCAGAACCTGCCACTTGTTTTAAGCGTCTCAAGTCTGAACACCCTACCTCTGCTTCTGCAGTGTAGAGTTTTAACTCTGCCGGCCAGAGCAGCCCTGCTTAGCTCTCTCAGGGTTAATTGGGTCTCCTCCAGTGTAACTAGGTGTCTGAACATTCAGGTTTTTCAAGATGTTAGCCAGCACTTGAACCATGCCAAGAAGTGTGTGTATAGCCAGTGCAGTCTATACTGCTTGCCTGTAACAACCCAGTGCAAACAGGATTTATACTGATGTTTGTGCTGGTTTATACTGATGTTTGCTGGTTTATACTTATGTTTGCTCCTGGGTGTTTTTTCCAAGGTATAAAGGGTATTTATACACATGCTTCAGGAGCATTGGGGGGAGGTGCTTTAGTTAGAAGAGAGTCTGCTGGAGCACAGTAATTACCATGCTCCAGCAGACTCAGTGAATCGAGTCTGCTCCGACGCACTGTAATTACCATGCAGTAGAGCAGCCTCGCTGCTCGTGTATAGGCACCCAAAGAGACAGCATTTCAGAAAGTGGTGCCAGCATTTCAGGAAGACGCATGTAAGTGGACCATCATAGAGAAGTCTTCAGCAGATGGGGGCAAGACACTGCTTTTCCAGCCGTTAGAAGGATCTAGGAGCTTCAACGATCCTCAAGAATGCGAGCCACAGCCACAAGAATGTGAGCGATGAAATTGTTCTCCCATTGAAGTGCCTCACCGAACTAAACCAAAGTCATTGGGAGCTGTGAGTATTCACACTACTCAGGATTGCACAGCCTTAAAGGGCGAGCATATAAGCACTCGCTTGTCCCTCCTGGTAGTTCTCCCTCCTAATCAACTAGCGTTCTTTGTTATCTAGACTAAGTTTCAGTTCTCTTGCTTTAGTGCATATCGTATCTTGCCAACACTAAGAAATTAGAGACACTTAACTTACAGCAGTGGTTCCCAACCTTTTTTGTGCCATGGACTGGCACAGGAGTGGTGGAGCCGGCTGCCTACCTCTCAGGGCTGGCCTGCCCCCAATTTTCACCCTGCATGTCACTGCTGGCACTGAAGCCGCTTGCCCGGGCGGACAGGTCAGGGGCTGAGTGGGGGGCTCGTGCTACGACTCGGCAGCCAACCCGCTGTGGCCCAGTACTGGGCCGTGGCCTGGTGGTTGGGAACATCTGACTTACAGCATCTGGATTCAATGAAAAGCATGGAAGGAACAATACTTAGCTGCAGTTGTTACAGTGGAGATACTGTAACCTCAGACATCTCACAGGCCCCCCTAATGTCCAGGGAAATATTCCAGTCCATCACACACTGCATACAGAAGGGTGTCAGAATGGACTTAGCCTTACATTAATATTAAATGGGAGGTGGGAATAGTTTACACAAGATGATAGCGCTGTAGGGAGAGGTTCTGGCACAACTTGTCTACACGAAGCCAAAAAACTGAAAGAGGAAAAAATTATAAACCAAACGTTGCTCAACCTTAGTTTGCATTTGCTACCAGTGCTGGTATTTGACTACTTGAGCCAATTTACAGAAATCCTTTAACATGTCCAAGTGGTCGCCAAAGTAAAAAACATTTAAAGGTCAGGTCTGGAAACTTGTTCATTTGATCCAGATCCACACACACACAAAAGCTTTGAGAAGTTCATGTGTGTTTTGCTGCAAATGTAAATAGCATGGTAAAATATAAGATGCAAGTCAGCTATCCTGGCAACTTCAGATTAAAGCTCTCATAGAAATGGGCAGAAAACCCCATGCTCCAGGACTGGTTGCATTGTACCACTGTGCTATCCAAGATGGGCACTGTGCTTATAGCAGTCTGCATTTTGTGTGTGGCCTATTGAAAAGACATTTACTTTTATCATCTCACTTTGCAACCAATAACCAAACAAAAGCTTTCAAACAGCAGACCTTTAAAGAGCCTAGCTCAAACTTAGCTGTACTTGGCTAACTCCCATCTAGCATTTGCACCTAGGAAAATCTGTTTGATGCTTTCCCATCTATAAAAATAATTTTATTAGCATAAAGAGAATTATTGTTCAGTGAATATTTTGGAAAACTCTTCCAGATAAGTTTCAAAATCTTTTCTTAATAAAAAAAAAATTAAAAGATGCCTTTGGTGACTACTGTGTTTTATGCCAGTGTACAAAATACTGGTTTTCTGTGATGATCTAATTTTGAACACATTTGCCTCTGTTTTAGGGGTTATATAAACTAATCCAAGTTAATAACTTTGAAGCAAAAAGATGGATAAAGAGCTATAACTCATTTATTTAAAAAACAATGCTACAGTTCATCTTTCGGCTTCTTGAATCAGGTTTAGGATAGTAAACTATAGCTAATGGTCTGTATAGTTTTTGGCTTGTTTTTTAGTCTAAGTGAGGTCATTTTAGAGTAAAAAAAAAATAAGCTTCATACACTCCTGGGCAAAGCTTGGTATGTATCGGGCATCCAAACAGTTACCATAGTACTAAGATTGGTATTGTTAAAAATAATGAAACTTTCTTCCATGGGAAAAGAAAGGATGGATAGAAGTCCTGTAAGAAAACCATGAATGCTTTAAATCTGAGGAAATGTTTTTTGGAAAGAGCAGATTCTTCATTAAAAGCAGTAATGTCTGGCTTTCTTGCCATCAAAACTATTTTAGTTTTCCACCTTCTTCAAATGCAGACAATATTTAAGATGCATTTTACTGGAGAAGAAAAGTCCTTCCAAAGGTTGCAAAGCAGTGGTCATTTTCTTTACAGGAAACAGAGAAACACCAAATCTTCCTGGGAAGGATGTTGAGACTGTACCTGTGGACTTTATAAGCTCTATAGATGATAGCAGCAAGACGTAATCACAGATCTTAAAAAGACCACAGGAGACGTCAGAGGCCTTTGTAGGGATCATGCTGTACCTGAGTACTTTGAAAGTCCATGGATGGTGTTCACAAACCTTTTCAATTTTAGAGGGATAAGCAAAGAATTTACAAAAGGTCTGCAATGCATTTAATGAGGGCTACAATGCATGCTGGGAAATAAAAGAAACAGAATTCAGGACTCTGAAAAGATGGAATTGAGCTAAACATTGTT